GTCAGAGAAGAGCCCTGTTATATCTGAGGCTCATCAGCAGTTTGGGAGATCCACACCAGGCCATATTTGTATACGCAAAAGTTTCTGGGATTAGTTCTAAAAACCAAAACATTCTCACTGTACCCCTTCTACGCCCATAAATTCTGGGGTCTAAGATGATCCTTTCTCACTGCTGGGGTTGTTACTCCCCCCTGCTCACAAAATTGAGCTGTATAGTTATTTTACTTATAACTTAATCTTTTAGCAAAATCCTTTCCTGATTACAACCATGTTACTCATGAAGGAAAGAATGAGAGGGACAAATGCATTTTTATAAAGTTGAACCTAAATTCTGAATCTTCTAGGGTCCTTTTTGGCTGGACTGCCACCCAGAAGGTGTACCAGACAGGCCAGCCTGAGCTGCCAGGAGGGGAACGAAACATGCAACAGGACCAGAAATGTGTAGTATGGGATCTGAATTTCCAAAAACAGGGCTATATAACCCCCTAACCTGTTCATCCTAATTACCACCTGGAGAACAGCTGAGGGACCTCTCAGTGCAGCAGCCACATCCCACAAACAAGCTACCTTACTAAGGCACTGTTGTGGAATAAACTGAGTGCCCCCCCTAAAAAAATTCATATGTTGGAAGCCTGAAGCCCCAGTGTAGTGGTGCTAGGAGGTACAGATTTTGGGAGTAAATTAGATTTATATCAGGTCATTAGAGTGAGGCTCTGTGATTAGTATCCTAATAAGAAGAGATAATGGAGTGATTTCTCTATCTCTCTCCCTCCCTCTCTCTCTCTCTCCCCATTGTGAGGACCTAGTGAGAAGGTGGCTGTCTATAAGCCAGGAAGAAAGCCCTTGCCAGGAACCAACTCTGCCAACACTTTGATCTGGGACTTCCAGCCTCCAGAACTGTGGGAAATAAACATCTGCTGTTTAAGCCACCTAGTCCATAGCAGCTATTGCTGTAGGCCCCAAGCTGCTTAAGACAGGTACTCATCAGGAGGAAGCAAGGGAGGCAGAGTCCATGTCTTAGTCCATCCAGCCTGCTATAACAAAATACCTTAGGCCCGGTAATTTATAAGCACAGAAATGTATTACTTACAGTTCTAGAAGTTAGAAAGTCCAAGATCAAAGTTCCCACAGATTCAGTGTTTAGTGAGGGCTCATTCCTCACTGGGGGGGTGCCTTCTGTGTGGGTTCCTATGGCAGAAGAGATAAACAGGCTCTTCAAGCCTCCTACAGTGGCACTAATCTCATGCGTGAGGACAGAGCCCTTAGAACCTAATCACCTCCCAGATGGCCCATTTCCCATTACACTGCACTGAGGATTAAATTTCCGTGTAGGAATTTTAGACCATAGCAACCAGAAATCTTTTTGAGACTATTTTTTCAAAGGTCATCCCCAAAACTCAAGCATATCAGATACCTTTGGCTGATAGGGAACATGGAAACCCCACTGAAGATCTTCACTCTCAGCACATTCTTGAGGGTTGGATAAAAGACACACCGGTGCCAAGCTCAAGGTAGTCTGGGAAGACAAAAGCCACTTAGGTTAGTTTTGCGGGTTATAATACCATGTCCGGAGTTGACTGATCAGACCAGAACTGCAGCTGTGCTACCAGAAGAAGTATTGACAGTGTTGGGTCAGCACCAGTATCCCTGAGTCAGTCTGACAAGAGCAGTACCCTGAGCAGTGTGTCCTTCTCTACTGTAGGACCATGGGTCGACATGAGTGTGGCATGCCATGGCAGTGTGTGCATGGGAACGTGGACTCCCTTACTCTCCGCCCTCTGTGGTGGTGTGAATGTTGGCATGCATAGCCATGAGGAGTGCAGGCAGCAGTGGTGGTGGTCTGGGAGGCTTGATTTTAGTTGATATCATCAGAGGATAAGCAGCCACCCTGCACAATGACATGAGCGGCTCGGACATTTGGGTCAACAGCTGTGATTCTCTACCCCATTTTGTGGCCCCAAAAAGGGATATCTTTAATCAACCAGCCTGTAGTTTCCCAAGTGGCAGACCACATTGCTAGGTCATTGACAACAATCCAAGAATAAGTAAAAATATAACAAGCTTCATCAAAGGAGTTGGCCAGAACTATGAACACAGCCTTGAGTCCTGCCCAGTGAGTGGACTTTCAGGTCTGCTGAGCTGTGCTGGAACTCAAGAGCCACCTCAGTTCCGTGGACACTACCAGGTTTCAGCTGAGTGAGGAATCAGGGAACCAGGCCCCCTCATGTAGGGGATTCTGTGTACCAGGGTTCCACAGAGTCAGCATTCTACTTTGGGGAGCAGTGGGGGCGGGGGAGAAACTTTCCCCCCAGGGAGGTTTGTTAACCACTTTTTTATCTGATCTCAAAATGCTGCTGGGACCAAGCCAGCTGTATTTTTGGATATGCCATTTCCATTTGACAAGTGGTAAACCCATGAGTTTCTCTCATGAATAATCATGACAATAATTATAAACAAAATATTTAGCAAATCGAATCCATCTGTATATCACAACAAATTTGGATTTATCCCATGGATGCAAATTGGATTAATACCCAAAAAGAATCCATTAGTGGTCTCCTGCTTCCAAGGGCAATGAAGTAGCTAATGGCAAACTTGCCTGTCTTCCCATCTCAAAGAGAAAAAAAAGACGACTACAGAAATCACCTTTAGAATAGCAACTAAAAGATGCTGAGGCACTGAGAATTGATAAAGGTAGGAAATTAAAGATAGGAAAACTGGGACAAGAAAACCTGCAGCTATAGCTGCTTTTACCCTAGGGGTATTTGTAAATCTGATTGGAAGGAAAGATTTTGGCAAGATTTGGGGGACCTTATACATGTACCTGCTTTACCAATAAGAGGATTTCTGGGGCATTTTGCAACTTTGCTGAACACGGGATAAGCAGCTAAAAACTTGAGCAGAAAGCCTTGGAAAGTTGAGCAATTTGGGACCACTCTAGGGAGGGCCTACAGAGTACAAGCTCTTATATGAAGATAGAAATGCCATCATCTTTCTCCGTAGCAGAGACAGGTTAGTTGACTGTCCACCAAAAGAAAGAAAATGTCTCTCGAGGGAGCAGAGGTGGGGCAGGTGGACTTGCAGCCCATTAGACAATCTTGGGGTTACTAAGCTTGGAGTTCCTCAGCTGTAACACAAACCCACTAAGTACACACACCTGTCTCTGCTTGTACACAACCCCTGTGAGATTTAGGGGACAAGGGAACTGCCAACACTATGTTCGTTCTGTGAATAATTAAGTTCTTTGTCTCTGACCCAGGAATCTCATGTTTCCTTCCAGTGTCCATGAAACCATGGCAAGGTATTTATTTAAAGTGTACATGGTGATGTTTTCACATATATATTTTTTGTAAAGTGATTACAGTAATTAAGCTACCAGCATATCCTTCAACTAATGCAGGTACTATTTTTTGGTGTGTGGGAGCATTTCAGATCCACTCTCTTAGCGAATTTCCAGTACACAGTATGGTATTATTACCATGCTGTGTGTTAGATCTCCAGAACTTACTCATCCTCCATAACCAAAACTGTCTTCTAATTAGTTCATTCACATTTAATGAAAGTACTGATATATTTTTATTTAAGCCTATTACTTCGAGTTAAATCTAAAATACTATCTGGCTGTTAAGGTTGTGGTGTTGGTTTTTTCCTCTCTCGTACTCTTTCAAGTTTTTAAAGGGCGTTTGCCATTCTGTTTTCTGCTCTATTAGCTTGTTAGCTTTGGGGTGGTTACCCGAAACTTTACGAAATGCATCTTTGAGTTACTAAAATTTGCCTTAAGTAGGTCCTTTTACCACTTTCTGGCCAAAGTAAGGACCTTACCACTTAGGTCACGTCATGTGGATTCTCATAGTTTGGGTTATTGCTGTCGTTTGTTTTAATCTTGCATATAATTCAGTCCTCCCTAAGTCACTGCAGGTGTCACTCGAAGCAGTCAGTGTACATTTGCAGTCTCCTCACTTGCTTGCACCCAGAGATCACTTTCCTCCTGCCTTGAATGTTTTCACTGTGGATCTAATGATAATAATGATAATAAATTTTCTTTAAATTTATCTAAGATACAGAATTCTAGACTGTTAAATTTATTTATGCTTTTGTCAAGTTAAGGAAGGGCTGGGGCTTTAGCTCAGTGGTGCCGCCGCCTGCCTTGCAAACGCAAAGTCCTGAGTTCAGTCTCTGTACCAAAAAAAAAAATAGTTAAGGAAGTTCTTTTATATTCCTAGTTTTATGGGAGTTTTTAATCATGAATAAAAATTGAATTTTGTCAAATCCTTTTTTCCATTCATGTTATGATGATGTGCTTTTTTCTCCAGTAGTTTGTTAGTATGTTAGCATGGTGAATGTTAATTGATTGAATGTCAAATGGAGCCAGCCCTACATCTGTGTAACAGACCCCCCGCTTGGCTGTGGTATATCATCCTCTCTAATAGTGCGGAGTGCAATTTGTTGATGTTTGGCAGCATATTCATGAGCAGCATTAGGCTGTGCTTTCTGGTGCTTTCTTCATCTGGTCTCAGTGTCAGGGTAATGCTAGCTATTTTCTAGAGGAGACTGCATAGAATTGGTTTTGAGTGTAACTCCTTCTTTATCCTTTTTAGTGGCTGTTGTAGATAATATATACATATAGATATCAAAGTCTACTGGTGTTAAAATTTAACCATTTTTAGTGCAGCATGGAAACCTCACTTACCTTTTTGTTCCTTTATCCTCCACCCTTCATAATGTGATCGTCTAAATATTTGCCATGCATATATTGAAACATACAGATAGACAATATACTTGTTGCTTCTACAATCAGATATAAATTAGAAAACTCAACACAAGATGGAAAGCATGTTACTTTGCCCATATTTCCACTCTATTTCACATGAGAAAGGCTACAGCACTCAGCCTTGTCGCTGAGGTCTCTAGAAAATCTTCCACTAATATCTGCGATTACTCAGCAAACACTCCCTGTTGTCCTGGCTTTTCTGGGCTCTCTAAAGTGTACTCTGTTCCAGGTCGCCTGAACTGGTGGTCCACCGTGTGCACGAGCTGTAAACGGCTTCTTCCTCTGGCCACGACAGGGGATGGGAACTGCCTGCTACATGCGGCCTCACTGGGTAAGCTCTGCAGCACAGAGAGGCGGGCAGCAGGGCCCTGGGCCTGCCCAATACATAGTTCAACCAATGACATGGGTTAAATAGAGCCACCATGTCACTGTCATGTGGAAGAGCTCCCATGAGATGGAGCCAACTTTCCTGACCTTTCTGGCCAAGCACCTGGCTGGGTTGGTGGAAAGACAGAACACATGTGAGAAAAGACCTATTGTGACATAAGGAGGCCACCAGCAGGAGCGTGGGGATGAGAGTTGGAGATTGTGACCTGAAGTAATCAAAGAGGACTTCCTGGAGGAGGCAGACTCTCTACTGAGACTTGAGAAACTTGAAAGAGTAGAAAAGAGGATATACCCAGCAGGAGACCCCACAGACGAGACAAATGGCAGGAATGGGCAGCGGCAGGATTGAGCTAGGTGAGGCTCTAGCAGGAAATCTGAGGAGCAGTGCATGCAGCTGGAGAGCTGTGGGGATGCCATATTGACAGTGGTCTACAGTGAGCTTGAACTGTTAAGAAGACAGGCGTAGGTACCACTTGGGTAAGTCTTGGGAGAATCAGCCCAATCAGAGTCTGCATCAGCAGCCTTCCCAGCAGAGATGTCACAACGGCTCACCAGCATGTGCCATGTTTGGCAATGCTGGGATAACTGAGGGTCATAGGGGATGTTCTGGAAGCTCAGTCTTCCCCTCTAGCCCCAGGCTTATATGCAAAAGGCCGAGAGTCTCTGTCCAGGGCACAGGACCCTCGGATGAGGATGAGGCGCCTGTTGATCAATCGCCTGCCCAGGTGAATGTGGTACCCAGAGCAAGGGCCAGACCCAGGCCTCCCTAGAGTGCAGTGAGGCTGCTCCACAGCAGGCAGACTGAGAAGAGACTGCAGAGGGCTCTGAGGGGGAAGCACAGGGGTCTGGGAAGGGCCCAGGGAGACTCGGAGGAGAAGGGAGATGGAGAGCAGAGGGGAGCTTCCTGGCCTCGAGGGCAGTAATGGGAAAGACAAAGGCATCCACTTCACCACTTCCTCACCATGACAAAACTAGTACATCCTGTTTTGGAGCATTAAAGGTATTCTCCACCCATCATGGGAAGAAAATCAAAATCCAAAATCCCATCACCTAACGCGGCCACTTTTAACATTTTGCTATATTGTCTTCCAGTCTTTTTTTTTTTAATTAATTTTATTGGTACATTTTAGGTATACAATATAATGACATTCATCATTGGAAATTTGCACCTGTACATAATCTCTCTTGGTTCTTATTTTTCCCACTTCCCCTGCCCTCCCTTCAACCCCTCCAGTCCTCCCTATTTACAAAGATTTTGTTCCTTAGTTTTCCATTTTCTCATATTAATCCCATTCCCTTCTATCCTTTCCCCTAGCCCTCCCACTTCCTTCCCCTTTGCCCCTTTTCTTCCTGTTTCACATTACCTATTATACATTTAGTCCTTATTTACACTTTCAGTTTCTCACACTAGAGAAACTATTCGGTATTTACACGTGTGTGTCCAGTCTTTTGTGTGTGCTTCTGTATAATCTGCGTTTGCAATTTGGAATCCAACATTTTCCACTTAAGAATTTTAAATGGACTTTAATTCTTATTGACATACAATAATTGTGAGTATTTGTGGAGCGTAATCACCTTCAAGTTTTCTTGAGAATTTCCTATGCTGTTCCCCTCCAAAAACACAATTTTAGTAGTTGGGTCACATTTCTTCACAATACCTAATATTAGCTGTTCTACTATTATTGGATATATTTCACCTTGTCTTATATAAAATCTGGGGGGAAATATAAAAGAAGTCTCTCGTCTGTGTCAAACAGCTGCCTGCGGCACAGTCTCAGGCATGGAAACAGCTTTGTCCTCCAGAAGCTGCCCTGAGTAGAGCCGCGGTCCCCACCAGCACCGCAGGAGGGCACAAGGGCACGTGCTACAGTGGGGTCTGGGCCGCATTTTCCCATGAGCACTCCGGGCCTCCCCGCCTTCCCAGCAAGAGGAGGCCTCCTTGAGCCTTGCCTGTCTGCTGGAGAGGCTGTGTCATGACTGACCAGGCCTGCAGGGCCTCCTCTGTGAATCCCCCACACTGCAGTGGGCTCAGAAAGGCAGGTGGTCCTTTTATCCCGGTCCAGGTTGAGCACCCCTAATCTGAAAATCCAAAATGCTCCAATATCCAGAACTTTTTGAGCATCAATGTGATTCCACAAGTGGCAAATATCGCACAATGAAAGCTTGTTTCAGGTACAAAATATCGTGTAAATTACCTTCAAGCTACTTGTATGAGCTGTACAAAACATAAATGAATCTCACATTTAGACGTGGGTCCCATCCCCAAGATACCTCACTATGTGTATGCAAATATTCCAAAGTCCAAACAAATCCGAAATCTGACACATATTTGGTCCCAGTCATTCCAGGTAAGAGGTGCTCTGTTTGTCCCTTGTTTCCACATTGCGCTTGCATTGCCAGACTCCACAGGACCAGGATGGCCCCTAGCAGCCATGTGACAGGTGTCAGCAGTGCTGTCCAATACCTGCTGGCCAGAGCTGACAATGCCCCAGGGTTCCTGGACACGCAGAGAAATGATAGTGACCTGGGAGTCAGGACAGGGAGGCCCCGTGTGAGAGCGACCTGCACAAACAGCCGCACGACCAGAGGTTCCCAGAGGGCCCAGGCAGGCAGCTGAAACAGGTCTGAGGATAAACAAGGACCATGATAGCCATTTTCCTCCCTCTATCCTGCAGCGAGAGACAGGAGCCTGGCCTGCTAGAAAGCCTGCAGCTGTCTCTGGCTGCTGCACACCATGGATAGCAGCCAGCCTCACCTTTACAAACAGCAGTCGGCTTGGGTTACGCTCCTGAGGCTCCCAGTTCACTTGAAAGTTGCCTGTTTCCTCTGCCTCGCCCCCTCCATCCTGGCTCTCATCACCCTTCCCTCCTGCCTTCCCCAAGCCCACCACATGGACCCCCCCCTTGGCAGAGACGTCCATGGCCTTTCCTTCTGGCTGAAATGGCAACTCATCTCCCTCCCTCGCCCATTCCACCCTTTGCCCTGATGTCTCCATGTCCATACACATCATAGCAATGCACCTGTCACTCCTTCCTCATCACCTGCTGCTTCTCTTTTGGACATTGCCACTGTACATTTCACACTAAATCCTCACTTCCCACTTTCCTACTGTGTATGTCCCATCAGATTTAAGAACTGCATGTGTCCTGGTCCCTGCCATGCATATTCTAAGCACTTTGAGTAAGGGGATGGGTGGATGGATGATGGATGGATGATGGATGGATGGATGATGGATAGATGGATGGATGGATGGATGATGGATGGATGGATGGATGATGGATGGAAGATGGATGATGATGGATGGATAGATGGATGGATGGATGGAAGATGGATGATGATGGATGGATGGAAGATGGATGGATGATGGATGGATGGATGATGGATGGATGGATGGAAGATGGATGATGATGGATGGATGGAAGATGGAGGGATGGATGGAAGATGGATGGATGATGATGGATGGATGGATGGAAGATGGAGGGATGGATGATGATGGATGGATGGATGGAAGATGGATGGATGGATGATGGATTGATGAAAGATGGATGATGATGGATGGAAGATGGATGGATGGATGGATGGAAGATGGATGATGAATGGATGGAAGATGGATGGATGGATGAGTGGATAATGGACTCTGCTATTCTTGCTCCTGGATCCAGGTCTGCACCTCTCTCCAACCTTCTCCCATCACTCGGGTTTCTTGACCAAACTGAGCAGCCTCAGCATGTACTCAGAGATAGTCAGTGTATCTTCATAGCCCCTCAACACCCAGCATTGGGGACACCTTCCCCCAGGAAGACAGGTGTGCCCTGCTGGCCCAGATGTATGCAGTTGTGTCCACTGAAGATTCTTGGAAGTTGAGATGCCCTGGGACTGTGGACATCAGGTCTGACAGACCCTGGGGGAGCCAGGATGTTACCGGCCATCCTGGCATGGAGCCCTAGTGATGACATGCCACCAACTTACCCCCAAAGGCAGTCTCCCACCCAGATGCCAAGACCTTGGATGTCACTCCAAGCAAGCCTGTGAGGTTGCGAGCCAGTAGTCACAGGTCCCAGAGAGAGTCAGCTCCACTTTTATCTCTATTATTTGGTTAAGAAGGATAGTCACTGCTTCACTCTCCTACCTAATGTGAAAGGAAGCTCTAGGAAAAAAGAAGAGGGGAGAATCTGTGAGCCTGTGATGAGAGCTGAACAGCCGAGTGCGCAGCGGTACCTTTGTGCGACACACAGCAGGTTGGCCCGGGAGGTCCCGCCCGCCCCGCCCGCCCCTTCCTCACGGCCTTTGCCTCTCTCCTCTGCCACCCCTGGGCTCCCCACTGCAGGAATGTGGGGTTTTCATGATCGAGACCTGGTTTTGCGGAAAGCTCTCTACACCATGATGAGGACAGGCGCCGAGCGGGAAGCCCTGAAGAGGAGGTGGAGGTGGCAGCAGACGCAGCAGAACAAGGAGGTTGGTACCTGCTGGCCTGGCTGGAGCCAGGGACCTACTCCAGGTGCAGCCTCAGGCCCTCTGGAGTGAAGAGTACGCCCGCAGGTGTAAGTGCATCTTGTGAGGTCGGGCAGACAGCCCCGGGGGTCAGTAAGGCCCCCAGACATTACAGCAGGACAGCCCGGTGGATGGTGGCTGCACACCCATTCACACCTCCCGCACTGGCACAATTAGGAAAGCCGCTTCCGGTGCAGCCCTCGGCCCCAGCACCTGTGTGCGAGCTCAATCCAGAGACTCCCAGGTGTGCCTAATGGCGGTGCACATTAGCACTCTGCTCTCCTAGGAGAACCTGCCTGCTTTCCGATTCAGGTTAGCCCCCCGCCTTTCGAAGTGTCCTGGGCAGCCCCCAGCCAGGCGCATGCGCGCAGCAGCACCCCGAAGAAACTTTCTGGGGGGCGGACCCCGTCATCTCTGGGAGACTGGGGCTTCTGAGGATTTACTGTCCAAGCAAAGCAGAGACCATTCAGAGCCACTGACGTGGCCACCCCGGGGGCTCACGGGCCCGGGACCAAGCCCCAGGGTCCAGCGAGGCTGCGCCTGGGAGGGGCGGGAGGCGGGGCAGGCTGCGCGGCCCGCACACCTCCTGACCCGGCCTGCCCTGCGCCAGTCAGGGCTGGTGTACACGGAGGAGGAGTGGGAGCGAGAGTGGACGGAACTGCTGAAGCTGGCCTCCAGTGAGCCGCGCACGCACTTCAGCAAGAACGGCGGCAGTGGCGGCGGGTAAGTGCTGCCCCTGAGCACCCCGAGGCTCGCTCGTGCTCTCGCCACCTGGGCCTCAGCAGCGTGAGGGGGAGGTACTGGTGCAGCATGGCCCTCGCAAGCCGTGACGGACAGAACTGCAGCTCCCCATCATTAGATGCTAAACAAGGGTGCATGGGAGGCTCTGGGGACAGCTGGACCTGCCAGCCCCAGGGAGAAGTGTGCCAGCTCCATGAGGCACAAGCTCACACGAGCGCCTTCCTCCTAGGAGCAGGCCTCCCCCTGCAGAGCGGACAGCGGCAGGCAGGGGCTCCCCGCATACCCGGCCCCAGAAGTGGCCCTGGACGGTGGGTGGGCACTCCCTCCCGTGACCATTGCATGACCCCGCTCTGTAAGCTCCGGCCATGGCATTTGGGTTTTCTGCCTAACTAAACAGCGATTCAGTCTGTGGCTCCAGGCAGTCATGCTGAAAGCCAAAGACCGCTAAACGGGTCCAGCTTCTCCCAGATAGACTCCCTATTTCTGGCAGAAAGGCGTCCCACTGTCAGTGCACATTTAGGAAGAGCTCAGATGTTCCAGTGTGGGAATGAAGACCTGGTCAGACAGGGTAGCCGCAGGACCTTTGTCCAGGGCCTTTCAAAGGGCACGTGCTTCCATTTCCATTGTTTTGGACCTGAAGGCAAAGTTTTGCCCCAGAAAAGGTCTTAGCCAAACACAGGAAACTGTGACTGCTAACACTGCAGACCCTCAGAGTAACAGAGGCTCCGCAGCTCCTGGCCACCCTCAGGCTCACAGGGCCCAAAGCGGCCATCTGGGTTCTCACTAACCCCGGATGGGCCTAGCGCCTTCTGGGTCCAGCCTCTCCCAAGGCCCAGAGCTAGAGGTCAGGCTGCAGCAGGGACCATAGCAGCCTCAGCAGGCGAGACTGAGCCAAGAGGAGCCCCTGCACCTCAGAAACCTGCAAGTGCAAGCCCCAGACTCCGACAGGGCTGCTTTGTTGCTTTGTTTTTATGATGTTCATGTTAGCATCGATGCTCCACCGTATTGCGGAACAAGCACCTTTGAGTGTTTGGAGACAGGCATTTGGTTCCTGAAAACTCAGCTCTTTTTTTTTTCCATGCCTCCCGAGTCCTGCCTTAATGGGTCTCCAATGGTCCTCAGCATCGTTTTCACTGTTGCCTCTCCTGCACCTGGTAGATGCTGGAGGATTTGATCCAGTCTGGGTGTCTTTTCCAGGGTGTGGAAGGTGGGCAAAGGTGTGGAAAGACAGCAGCAGTGATGAGGAGGAGGAGGAGGAGGAGGATTCTGTCCATTTTCCATTGCTATAACAAAATATCTGGGGCTGGGTACTTATGAAGAAAAGTGGTTTAGTTAGCTCATAGCTTTGAAGGCTGTACATTCCAACAGCATGGCACTGGCTCTGGTGAGGACCACACTGGCTGCACCCCATCAAAGCCAACGATGCCATGCAGCAGTGGATGCAGGGAGGAGCCAGCTCATGGAAACAGAGGAGGCCAGGGTACAGGGAGGAGCCAGATGCATTCACCTCATTACAGCCCTCTGAAGAGAACCAACTTGGGTCCCACAAAAGCCACCTTCATCCCTGTGGAGGGCGGTGTCCCCAGTGAGTCACAGCCCTCCTGCTAGGCCCAGCATCTTAAAGATTCCACCACTGCCCACAATGCCACATGAAGACCAAGCTCCCAACACAGGAACCCTTGGGGATCCACTCGATCCCCAGGCCACAGCAGTATATAGTCAGCACGGGCCACCCCTGCTGAGCACCTCATCTGGCAGGGGCTTAGACCACGGTGCCGTGGCTGATTAGTCCCATCCAGCTTCTGAGGCCACAGCTTCAGCCTCGCTGCCTGCTTCCAGGACCTGAGGGGGATCAGATGGAAGTGGGAGAGGAGAGGCGTCAGGGGTTCATCTCTGTCTCCCGCCATAGGCAGAGCAGGACAGCGGCAGGGAGGGCCTGCTCAGTGATGAACAGAAGCTCTTGTTCTCTTTTGCTCTTTCTTTTTCTCCCACCCTTAATCCCTGAGAAACACCTTGGTTTCCTTTTCGCAGATTGGACAGCTGAGCCACACAGAGAGGTGTCGCCCTGCGGTGCATGCAGCCCTGTCCTGAATCCCTGCCTCACTAAGCTGTCGTAACATTGTATTATGTCACCTGACTCAGGCCACAGCATCTGCACATGGCAGGCCAATCGAATGGCTCATTTTGATTCTATTCCAAACCCTAGCTCAGTATGGGCACATAGAGCCAGGGCCAGCAGGCGTTGAGCTGAGCCCTTTCACACACACGCACACACGCAGACACACACACACTGGAGAAACGCTCCTGCCCAAGCCTGGGACATCAGCCAGACCGACCCACGGAGCAGCTGGGCCAAAAGCCAGGCACAGCGGGACACATGCTCCCCCTCTTCCTGCACAGCTTCTCTCTGGGAGCCAGAGGAGGAAGCCTGGCTCTCTGCGAGGCCCAGGGCTCCCTAGTGATCAGGAAGGGGCAGTGTGGCTGGATGGGAATTAGAGATGTCATCCACTGAGCACATATTGTGTGTCAAGCGTGTGAAATTGTCCTCATCATCCCCAAGTACAGATAAGGCAGCTGAGATTGAAAGGCTTGGCGTATATATTCATCAGAGTTCCTCAGAGAAACAGGGAAAATGTACATAGATATCCTACTGTGGATGTGTATATATATGCACATATGTCTGTGTATCCACTGTTATCGACATGTGTATACACACACTTGCATATGTACATGTGTATACACATGATTGCGGAGTCAGAGAAGTAACAAGACCTGCGATCTGCAGGAGGCAGACCTGGTAGCACTGCTAGCAGAGTCCGAAGGCCTGAGCCCTGGAAAGCTGATGGTGCAGATTCCAGCCTAAGCCCAAAGGCCTGAGAAGCAGAACAGAGGGCAGGGATCTTCATCCCAGCTTAATGGCCAGGCAAGGAGCGAATTCAGCCTACCCCTGCCTTTTGGTCCTGTTCTGACCACCCCCACTGGGAGGGCGGTCTGCTTCCCCACACCCGCCAGAGCAAATGCCATTCTCTTCCAGAAACACCTGCACAGGCATGCTGGAAATACTGCGTCACTGAAGTTGACGCACAAAGTTCAGCCTCACAGGTTAACTCTGTGTTCCACAGCCCACGAGAGACAGCTGGAATCCAAACCTAGCGCTGACCTAAGTTGGAAATTCACACTCTTGGAAAATGCAAAGCAAGTAGAAAGAGCAAGAATCAACAACTTATCTTGAGGGTTGTGGTGAAAATAATAATTTTTGCTCTCTAAGCTTTTAAAGAACAGCTTGTTTCTCTGATGAGACAGCGATCATGGAAACTGAGCGGCCAGTGGCACCCAGAGGAAGTAGGTACGTAGAGGAAGTAGGCTCACAGAGGAAAAGCGAGTAGAGAGAGGAAAGGGCCTTTTCGAGGATGCAGGCAGCCCCAGGCCATCTTCCATTCCAACTCCCTGCTTCTCGGGCCTCTTTGTGTTGAGATTCTGTAATTTCACTGGCAGCATGTTTGCCACATTGCTGACCTTTTCCAGAAATATCTAGACCCCTAATGCTTCCGTGATGCACCAACTCAGAGACATAAATGTAAGCCTTCTAGGAAAAGCGAGTGTCACTCCATGCCTAGAAAACCCCTCACACCACTGAGTGGCTCTCCTGGGCCCTGAGTGGCCGTGCGTAGAAAAGGAGGCCTTCCTGCACATGTCCTAAAGAAGCCGCCTTTTATCACTATGCTTATGAGTAAGTGCAGTTTCTTACTTGATCCTCATTAGCTCTCCTATCAGGCTCCCTAGACCTCCATCCATGTGTACACATGTGTGCACATACAGACACACCCAGCAAGTATGAGCAGATAATCAATAAATACTTGTCAGCCAGGCGTGGTGGTGCAAGCCTATAATCCCAGCACTCAGGAGGCTGAGGCAGGAGGGTCACTGCAAGTCTGAGGCCACCCTTCCTCAAAACACCCCCCAAAAAAATCAATAAATATTTGTCACATAAATGACCTCAGATTATTGGTTCTGAGCCACGTGAGGAGTCCTCACCCCCAGGCCCTACTGGTCACCGCTGGAAGCTCCAAACCCCATGTCCCTTCAGGGTGTCCAGAGGCCCACAGTCCTGTCCTCACTTCCGGGTTGTAGCTCTTTGCAGGGCCCCGCTAGCCTGCACTGTGCCTTTCCAGCGTTTGTTGAAAGTCTGCCTCTCTGGCAGATGCAGTCCTTGGCCAGACACAGAGGCCCCCGTCTGGGTTGGCTGGGGAATGGTGACACCCCTTGAATGCTGCCAGTGAGCTTCGTGCATGAGCACGACTGTGTAGCTGTGAAGAGGTGAGGGGCATCCCCGCATGCTGCACCGGAGAGGTCTTGAGGATGCGCCAGAGAGGATGCACCAGGTCAGGATGGCAAGGAAGGCGCCGGACCTTCCTCAGGGGTGGAGGTGGGGTGTAGGGTATACCTCCCGCCCGTAGGCACTCATTTATGCACATACACATGCATTTAAATTTTAAATGTACCTCCAAAACCAATAAATATGTCCCTGTCCTGCAGTGACTGCAATTTATTATGCAAACTGGTTCATTTGGGAAGGGAAAGTGGGGACTGTCCACTCAGGGTGTGTGCCACAGAACTTTGTCGAGCAAAGCAGCAGGCGTGGCTACCTCACCTGGAGAGGAGAGACATAGGTGCTGACCTGAGCTCCCTCGGAGTGGCTCAGTGTGGCCCTTTGGTGAGATCTGCCACTCCTCCTCCCCAGGCAGCTTCCTAGCCAGTGACATGGGCTCTCGCTGGGTGCGGTCTCTAAGAGTTGTGGCCACCTCCAAATCTGCACCCTGCCACTGCTGCCTGGGACCTGGGATACCTTCCAGGCCTTACCTCACTGCATTTGCTTCTCAGTCCTGCCAGAGGCATCCCCACCCCTGCCTCTGCCCGGGCCCCTGTGGCCATCTTCCTCAGGGCATCTTTATTGTGTGGACATCAAGCATCCTATTCTCAGGAATCCCCTCCTCGGGTACACACGGAAAAAGAGGAGGCAGATGCCCTGGAGAATGCAGCACACACAGCACAGACCAGGTTGGGAAGTTCTTAGGCTGTGTGCGTCTTTGAGGATGACATCGCTATATTGGGTGTTAGTTTCCTTTGCAGTGAACACAAATTATTAAGCATTTCAGAATTTTTTGTGTCTTTTCTCAGAGGCCAGATTCTATTCACAGTCTCGGGGTTGATTGTTGATAAATAAGCTCACAGGAAGAAAATTGATGCTGCAAAGCTACAAGTGGGAGTAAATGTTCAGGGTTGGTTTTGCTGGAGCAGATTCCGACCGATGGGCTCTAGTAGCAGTAACACATCTGTAGGTCACAGTGCCAAAGTCGAGTCCCAAACGTGATCCTCATTGGCCCTCTGAGAGACCTGAGGAGTTGCTCGTGTTCTCTGGCTGCATTCAGTGCCAAGACCCTCAGCAGCACTGAGACATGATCAGGCACAAAACCAGGGTGAGTGCAGAGCTGGGAATCTCCTTAAACTCTGCGACAAGGAGCTGCATACAAGTAGGGAGCGGTATAATGACACTCAGACTGCCCCAGGCTGGATCTGAGACCCTCTCTGCCACCTCCTGGGTCACTGAGAAGGTTCTCTGTTATTCAGATGGCTCCCACACTCAACAGCTTCTGACCTTGTCCAGCCATGAGACTGCATGCCATGCATGGCCCAACTTCATGCTCTGACCCTGGTGTAGAATGGATTGATTGATACATGGACAGACAAGTGGGGTGTGGATGGATTTATGGATAAGTGAATGGATGGATGGATGGATGGATGATATAACCTGAGGGCAGTACCTGAGGGCATCTGCAGTGCCTTTCACGGGATTGGCACATAGAAAGTACTCAGTAAATGTTTTCAGTTTGAAACATAATGACCATGCTTTAGATTTTGTGTAAGAAGAATGTCGTGCAAGCCTGTTGCTGCCTAATATTTACCCCTTGTCCTTCTGCATTACTCAGATGCTGGTGTGTCCCATCATGGCATGAAGCCGTTTCACCATGGCCATCCTCCTTTTCAGCATTAATACCTGACTCAAACAGCTCATCCCTTCCCCCTGCTGACCTCTCCATTCACGTAATTAGAGAAGGATCAGCGCTCCCATTTCTCTCTGCATTTTTCTCCCACGTGTGCCAGTTGTGATGCTATGTTCTCTCTTCTTTGTGTTGCTTGTTACTTATTCTCCCATCCACTTGCCTGGCACTCAGTAAGCGCCTACTGTGTGGCAGGGATGAATGAGCAACCTCTGGAGGCTCTTGGCCCCAAACACTTGCATGCGTGGCTCTCAGTGTGGCTGGGAGGATAATCACCAGGAGTGTTGAGGATGCACCCTGAGCACTGTGCTTAGACTTGGCATAAGTATACATACCGGAGATGCTCAAGTCACTGACATAAAATGGTGAAATATTTGCATGGAACCTGTTAACGTAATCTGGGACCCTTTACATCAGCTCTAGATGACTTATAATACCAAATACAGTGTGCATGCTGTGTAAATAGTCTGTACTATATTGTCTAGTGAATGACGGCAAGGAAAAAGAGCATACAGTTTTTTAAAATATTTCTGTTCTGTAGTTGGTTGAATCTGCCAATGCAGAACCTAAGACATGAAGGGATGACTATATATTTAAATCAATACATATTCAAAACATTTCTCTTCTATGTCCCTTCCCTCCCTCAAAACTTTTACGAGCCATTACATAGGGCTGGGTGTAGGAGCGCATGCCTGTAATCCTAGCACTCAGGAGGCTGAGGCAGGAGGATCGCAGTGAGTTCAAGGCCAGCCTGGGCTACATAGTGAGACCCTGTCTCAATAAAAAGGGGGAGGGGGCCGGGGATTTAACTCAGTGGTTTCAACGCCTGCTGCGCAAGCGCAAGGACCTGAGTTCGATCCCCGGTACCAAAGAAAAAAAGAAAAAATCCACTGGGTAGGGCAATGCAGGGTGGGCATCTACAGTGGATGGGGAATGGGAAAATACATAGGACCAAAGTTAGATGACAACCTAAACAGAGTGAAGAGGGGGTAGCAGAGATGGGAGATGGCTTACATGCAGGAAGACTGATCCAATAAGCAAAAAATGATTAATAGAAATGAAGTTTCTTACTGTTGGAGAAGTTATAAGTAGAATAAACTTTATGGGGTTAGACTAAAATTAAAGGTATTGGTGTACCCAAGGTTTTGTATAAATTTTACAACTGATGTTGATTGGTGTGTGTGTGAGAGAGAGAAACAAAGACAGAGAGAGAGAGAAATATGTCTGGGTATGTATATGTATGAACTTGGACCATCTCATGCCAGAAGCAAGAAAAGTACTTTAAAAAATGAAAGGAGGATATCATAAGGACACAGACCAAGCTGAAGCAAGCCACACTGACTGAACAACGAGTATTTGAACATTGGAATATCACAAATGCATTGTAGCCCTTTGAATAGAGCAGAAAACAAATTTACAGTAATGCCAATAGATATGTAAAGATTTGGGGAGGAAGGGAGCACAGTATCTGCGTATGTTCAGAGTTCATCCCCACAAACTGCTTGTTATACAGAGGGGAAATGAGCAGTTTTGCAGGGGTAAGGCCTGGCAGATGGCCCTGACACGTGAGCAGGTCACCATCCTCTGGGATGGGAAGACATGCAGTCCACACACGATAGCCCAGCCGATAGGGTGCCCCAGCAGAACCCAAACTAATCTACTCTAAGGAAACAGAGAAGCCCAGATAAGGGGCATTCTACAGAATTCCTGGAGTATAATCCTCAAGGTTGTGAAAGTCAAAGAAACCCTAAGACATGCTCCAGGCTGAGGGAGACTAAAGAAATACCCCAGCTAGGATGATCTCCTGACCCTACGCTAAAAGCTTCATCCTGAAAGGCATACACAGTGTGTGGGGCCCAGCAGGCAGACGCACCCATATTAATGCCTGGCTTTGATGGTTATATGTTCTGGCCGGGTAGAAGAATGTCCTGTTCATAGATAATATCCTAAACTCTCTGAACCTCTCTCATAGCAACAGACAATGATTGGAGAGTTATTTCCAGATTATTGTGATGCTATTCCAAATATTTGTGCCATTGTTTGGTGAGTTTTTGTGTGCTGCAAAGTTTTTTGAACTATTAAAGTAAGTTGAATAACAAAAAGTCAGAATAGACAAGAAAAATATAGGTAACACTGAAACTTCCCAGGTGACAGTAATGCATTTCCTCAGATTTAAAGCCTTTGTCTAGCAGTAACCGAGCACCAAGCTGGGCACTGTGCACATGGAGCTGCTTCCCCAGGGCACACCAGGCCCTGGAGCTGTCCACAGGTGTCCACGGGACTGGTTCCAGGACCCCAGTGAATACCCAAATCCAAGATGCTCACATCCTGATGATAAAATGGTGTGCATCTCCTCCCATTCACTTCAGGTCATCTCTGAAATACTTGTAATACCTAGAACTAGTTATGGCTACACATCATTTCATCCACACAACTCAGGGTAGTGCTTAGAGCACAGCAAATTCAAGTTCTCCTTTTTTGGAATTTACTAGAATTTTTAAAGTATATTTTCAACCCTTGGGTGAGGAGCCGGTGGATACAGAGAGCTGACTATCTTCAGGAAGTCTGCATTTGCAGACTCGGGCCCCATCAGCTCCAGTCCTCAAAGACCTTCCTCTGTGAACGCTGGGCATCCCAAGGATGCTCAGGGACAAACCCCAGAGCCACCTGGGCTCTAGCTGGGCACTGCTGTCCCGGGTGGCATGGAGGGAGCCGCTGAGACCCCATCACCCAGGGAGCTCTGCTGTCCCCTCCAGATGCTCTCCCCTTTGGGGGTGGTCCTGTTGTTGAGGGACACCAAGGTCACAGTCTTGTGCCCAGTGTCTTAGAGTTTGAGGGAGAGCGGTTCTTGGAACCTGCTCTTTCCCTGAGTGTCAGGCAAGTCCAGGGCCAGAGCTAGGAGAAGTCAGAAGCCACTTCCTCCCTCCACTCTCAGGCAGGAAGTCCAGGCCACCTGCTGAGTGACCTCTCCCATCCAGTATTTCCTAGCAGGCTTCTCAGATCTTGGCAGTAATGGGGCCACCAGCCTAGGGTCAGATGTTCTCAGGCACCATGAGGCCCTGCAGGCCAAGGCTCCAGCCCAAGCTACATGTGTGCAAATGAACAGAAGGGGAGGCTCCAGCTCCCAGTGCAGCCCTGTTAAACATCCCAGAGAGCCATTCCCCTCGTGGCTGCCTCGGGCTCTGGTGAGCTACTCCGTCTGCGGCGCTGCCCTGGCTTCCTCAGCTGCCCTCCCTGGAAGATTTTCTCTGGCTCTTCTCCTGAGAATGCCCAACCCAGGCCGCAGGCACGGAGAGGGGATGTGTGTGTTTGCTGTTGGCAATGGAGCGGGAGGTGACCTCAGTGGCCTGGCTGCCCAGGACCATGGAGACAATGCAGCACAGGAGGAAGCCCTCTCCTGTCCTCCACTCTCCCAGCACAGCACAGTCCAGTCCAGTGACCGGCTGACGCACTTTCGTTCCCTAGCGTGGACAACTCCGAGGACCCCGTGTACGAGAGCCTGGAGGAGTTCCATGTCTTTGTCTTGGCCCATATCCTAAGAAGACCCATCGTCGTCGTGGCAGACACGATGCTGAGAGACTCGGGTGGAGAAGGTAAGATATCAGGGCATCTCTAACCATGGCTCAGAAGGTGTGATGTCCACTTAGCAGGCGGCACACATGGAGGCTGAGCTTCCTGAGAAGACCACCACTCATCCCACCGCATAGACAAAGACCACGTTATTCTGCATGTTCTTTTCTCCCCAGTGGTGGTAGGGATGGCTCTTGGTCATCCTCCCTCCGTGTCCCTTGCCACATCTCCCGGGGTAGACGCTGCCTCCCCACTTTGTGGATGAGGAAACTGAAGCCCAGAGGCTGATGCCCCTACCAGGTGCAGCCCAGGAAGGGCTCCACCGCATTTCCTCCCTCAAGCCTGCAGCTCCCAGAGGCCCAGGAGCAGGAGTGAGGGTGTCCTGGGGGACCCACAGGCCCAGCCACACCCTCTGATGAGGCAGGAGAGAGGATGAGCCAGGGATGGTGGACCAGGACGACAGTGAGTGCCGTCCCCAGGCCCCCGTTCACCTGCCCCACTCAGCTTCCCTCCCTCCCACCTGTGCCCACTGGTTTTCACTTTCCCTTCACTGCTACCACCATCAGGAGTCAGGCCCCTCTCACTGCCATGTATCCTTTTTTGTCACTTCTGAAGATGACATCATCCGCTGGAACGCCAGGCATGCATTCCCAGTGACAGGTCCCTGCAGCCCCACTGGAATTTAGACCTCCACTCTGATGAAAGTTGCAGCTTTTCCAGAGAGTCCCCCCACTAGGCTGTGGCTCTGTATGCTGGGTCACAGCTGCCAGAGCTGCGCAGCGTGCCACAATGGTTAGGTGGGGCTCGTCCCGCCTGGCGCCCCTCCTTCCCAGTGCTCCCAGGGACTCGGGCTTGCAGAGGGCTGCAGCTCTGAGTGCAGCACCAGGATGCACAGGGCCGCTGTGCAAGCTAGGAGGCAGCCCCAGGACAGCCCTGGGCTGCAGAGTGGGCCTCGCTTCCTTCCACTCCACCTGCAGCCAGCTTGCAGATGGGCCCTCCACTGTCAGCAGGAGTCCTCTGGAAGAGCTGCCTGACCAGCCAAAGTGGGGGTAGAAAGGCTACCTAGGAAGTCATCAAAGATGTCGCTGAGGGGGACTGTCCCTGCCTTCTGCTTAGAGGAGCGTGGCAGCTCCCTGGCGCTGGGGCCAGAGGCTTCATGCTTTATGATTAAAACACAGATGCTGCTGCAGACACTGGCAGATGTCTCCAGAGGTGATTCTCTCTCAGCAAAGGTTTTGGACCTCTCTTCCCTCCTTACTCTGAGTTAGGAGACAAGACCATGTCTCCTCACAGTCATTGACATCCCCATTTCTCATTTCCAGTCTGACAGCCAGTCCTGAGGCTGGCTGGTTGGTCCCTCCCCATTCCACAGGAGGGGCTCTCAGAATGCAGAACACATATGCTCTTGTGAAGTGTAGGTATTGTTTTCCACACAAACACTCCGTACCCAGGAGAAGAGGCCATGTGCCCAGAGACACAGGAGGTCCGGCCAGCCTTCAGCGTGGGTCACTGCTGACCGTATGGCTCTTGACCACCTGCTCAGGCCTCAGGGCCCCAGGGCAGGTCACCATGGGAACCTGGCCCTGGTCCTCCGCACTGCCCCTCCTCGCCCTTCCCCTGCTCCTTCATCCTGTTTGTGTCCACAGCATTTGCGCCCATCCCCTTCGGAGGCATCTACCTTCCCTTGGAGGTTCCTCCCAACAGATGCCACTGCTCGCCTCTGGTCCTCGCCTACGATCAAGCGCATTTTTCCGCCCTTGTGAGCATGGAGCAGAGAGACCAGCAACGAGAACAAGGTACACCACCTCCCGGCAGATGGGCACCAACACTGGCAGGCAGAGCAGGCCACAGGATGGCTTTGGTGGGCAGAAGAGGCACAGCGGGTGGGCTGAGGACAGCTCCTTCCAAAGCACACCTGTGCACATGCACAGCGATGGAGTGTGCACAGCTACACCTGGGCATGTCGTCACTAAACATATCCTTGTTAAAATCAGTGTTTCATTTTAAATGCTAACATGAATAATTCTGCCTCCCTTACAGGGCCTTTGCTGTTTGTTCCCTCTCACATGTATGTGTACATTTTTTTATTTAAATTAAACTCATTTTTAGCTGATACATAAAAACATGAGATTGTACATATTTATGGAGTACCATATGATGTTTTGACACATGCATACGTTGTGTAATGCTCAAATCAGGGTAAATATACCTATCCCCTCAACCATTTATAAATCTACAGTGAAAACATTGAAAATCTTTTCTGCTAGCTTTTTGCAATACACAAATTCCCTGCTATAGTTTTTTAAAATCATAGCTAAGTAATTTTTGTTAATGTACTGTGTATGTATTTCATACAGATACATTTAGTCTTACATGTAATTTTAAAAGAAAACTGTGCAAGAGCAGGGATTGGCAACCTACTATGGCCCACCACCTATTTTTGTCAATAAAGTTTTATTGGAATACATCCACAGTCATTCATGGATACTTTGCCCGTGGCAGTTTTGTACTATAGCAGCAGAGCTGAGTAGTAGCCATAGAGGTTGTGTGGACTGCAAAGCCTCAAATGTTTCCTCACTATTACTGCACAGAAAAAGTCTGCTACTCCTTCTCTAGAGGGGGTTTTGGAATTACAGAGTCACTCTCCTTTCAGATCTTTAAAGCTGAGTTTCCTACAAGTAGCCATTTCAGTGTTGCTGATGTACTTGCTGGGCCAGCCCCACAGGCTGTGCACTGCACAATTCCTGCCACCAGACTGGGGCTTGTTTCAGTCAGTGCCTGCATTTGTTGTAAAAGTCCGAGGATTCTATGTGAGTGGTTGCTATTGTCTCTTGTTATGACAATGTGTGACTAGCTGAATGGTGAGGGGAAACCCTTCTTATCTCACTTTTGTTTGGGGAATAGGCAGAGAGTCAGTCCCCCAGGAGACTGAAGGACAGGCAGGTGGGACTAGTTTCGGGATCTCCTGCACTGGCTGAGGTCTCAGGAAACCCCAAGTGCCTCCCCGGGCTGCCACAGGCCAGGAAGCTCCAGGTGTCTTGTCCTGACCTTCACTCTGGGAATGTAGCACAGGAAGTAAAACAGTGACAAAATGCTCCACAGGGCTTCCAGATGCTACCACTTCCTGCAGATGGCCGGCAAGGTAGGGACACAGACAGATGAACAACACCAGCCTCCTTCAGCCCAGCTTTCACCTCACAGATAGAGTCGGGAGGGAGTGTTGGGTCTTCAGGGTTGAATCCGAAACAGTGAAACAGGCATCCCGAGTCCTCACCGCAGCTGATGCAGATGCCTTGCTTGCTTGAGATCTCCAGTGAGTGCACTCAGTGTGCATGGGCTGGCACCAGGCCGATGGGTGTTGCCCCAGGCAGGGAGGGGTGCACGGCCGCTGGGTGCTCTGCCCCCAAGTGCTCAGTGATATTTGCATGTGCTTTTGTGCACCCGTGCAGTTCTAGGTTGGCCCTCCACACTTCCTGTCCCCCAGCCCACAGTCACTGCCATGAAGCGTTGCTAGGACGGTTTGGTAGGACGGTATGTGGCGGCTTCCAAAGAGACCTGGCCAACATGCACAGCGGTGGGGAGCAGGCAGGCACTAGAAAGGAGGCTCATGATGTGGGACCCCAAGTCAAAGTTTGCTTGGAATAAAATAGCATCTCCCACCAGGTGACACAGGAACCTCCAGGACTGGAGAAGGTGGGGTTGGAAGGATTTGCTTCATGAAAAACACCATTGCCATTTATTTCTGTTCTTTTTCAAAAATTCAATATATAAGGTAATTATCGAGATAGATTTTCCTTCCTAAATGCAAACAGCCTGTGAGCCTCAGGGACATAGGGAGGTCAGAGAAAGAGCCCCAGATGTGTCCCTGACACCTCCCCCAGGGGCCCTGCTCAGCGAGCCCAGAGGGCAGTGGACCGGCAGGCCTTCGCTGTTAGACACGGTGGAGAGAGGCCAAGATGATGGACCAGCTCCCCACAGGCTAGGACAGAGGCTTACAGACATCACACCGAGGTTTTCTACTCATTCATTGGAACACAGTCAACAAATCCAAAATGTGATGCTTGCAGAGAAAGACAGAAAGAAAGAGAGAAAGAGAGAAAGAAAGAAAGAGAGAGAGAGAAAGAGAGAAAGAGAGAGAAAGAGAGAAAGGAAGGAAGGAAGGGAGAAAGAAAAAGAGAGAAAGATAGAAAGAAAGAAAGGAAGGAAGAAAGGTAGGAAGAAAGAAAGGAAGGAAGGAAGAAAAAAGAGAAGAGAAAGAAAGAAAGAGAAAAGAGAAAGAAAGAAAGGAAAGAAAGAAAGAAAGAAAGAAAGAAAGAAAGAAAGAAAGAAAGAAAGAAAGAAAGAAAGAAAGAAAGAAAGAAAGAAAGAAAGAAAGAGAGAAAGAAAAGAAAGAAGGGAAGGAGGGAGGGGAGAGAGAGAAAGAAAACTTTTCCAAAGAACAGCTTGCCACCTTGTGTCCTGATGCGTAGAAACACACAAAGTTTACAGAAATGAGGGAGTTTATGAAGATGATCCTGGGGGAAGGAGGGACCACACAGAGCAAGTCTACCCAGCAGGCCATGAAAGCAGTTTGTCATCCGTATTTGATGCATAACTCATAGTTAAATCTAACACTGCCTGTGTTTTAATATTCCCCTCATCAGTAGATTGTAACATCTTTGTAACATCTTTTCTTTTTTTCTGATTGTGCTGGTGGTCAAACCCAGGGCCTCGCACATGCTGGCAAGTCCTCTCCCATTGAGCTGCATCCCAGCCCTGTTCATAACATAGATTCCAGCATATGTGGCCACAAACCATGCTTTTTCCTACAGGATTAATTTATTTATAACAAGCAGAAACAACCTCTTTTAAGTAGAAATTTGTCTTAACGTGTTATATTATTGAATATTCCACTTAAATTTTGTGATGTGAGTTCATCAGTATAGGTCTAAAAGTGATTATTATCACTTTTTTATCCAACAGCAAGCAAACTGGCCCAGCTGCGTGCTTGCCTGGATATAGAAATGGAGAAAATGCATGACAACACCTATTATGGGATGTATTCGATGAGTTTGTGGTGGCAAAAAGGCTTTAGAAACCAGAAAGTGCCTTAAAAATGCGAACCGCCTTCGTTGTCTTTGTGATCGGCCTCCCTCCTCTTGAGCTACTTTCTAAGTCCACTGGGTGAGCAGAAAGGCAGGGTCAGCACCGAGTGGAAAGTGCAGCTCTGCCAGCCCTGATGAGCTGAGGCCCGCTTCCTCTACTGCTCCTCGAGGGAGGCCCTGAGGAGCCAGCTCAGGCGACTAAGTCCCCGCTGTGTGGTGAGGAGGAGGAGCTGGGGACTTTGTGCTCACACCCCTGCAGCCCAGGGCTGTCATCTTTGACTCATTGCCCTGACCTCACAAATGGCCAGGAGGTGCCAGGAGCTGTGGGAATTGATTAATGGCTTTGGAGCACTGTCCTCAGCTTGCAGAGTCTAGAGAGCAGAGTCAAGCTGGTTAAACGCCCTCGACGTGCATTTATCACCAGGTATCTGCCTGTTGGTTCATGCCCCAATCAGGACCATGGGCTCAGGAGCCCAGAGCACAGGCCAGAGGGATGCCAGCAGCAGGCGTCTTTGTGGCGAGAACTGATTGAGGAGCCTTCACCAGTGCCTGGAACCTTAGGTATCGCTCTTGAAACACCCAAATCATAAAGATGCAAGAACGGAGTAGTGGCTGAAGGGAATGAGTTCAGATGCCAGCCTTCCCTTGAGTCCCGAGCCACAGAGCAGGCACAGGCACCTGGCCTCCCCCGCCAGTCTCCTGAAGGTGTCCACACCCACACAGAAGCACCAGCCTAAGGACACATCGGTCACTGTCAGCTTCCCCGTTCCTGAACCCGCCCCATCCCTGGACTCCGTGCGATGTGCAGTCTGCCTTCAGGCAGCACCACGCTCCTAGGCACCACAGTACAGGAACAAGCACATGCTGGCCACCAGAGCCCCCTTCAAAGGAGGGCAGGAGCAGCCAGGACTCATTGTCCTGGGTGTGAGAAGTGAGCTTGTAGGTTGCTGATGTGACTGCCTACAGAGGCTCTGTGGTCGTCATTGTCCACGGGGCCACATCTGATGCACGTACTGAAGACACCCTCTGGGGGCTGCAGGCATCACTACCCACTTTTGGCATGAGGTCAGGAGCCCAGGGGTTGACATAGGAGCAGAACCTTGCCTTAGCCTGAACATCTCTGGTCAGCATGTTTTCCAGAGTCATCAGTTTGAATTTCTGTAACAATACCATAGGTGGGGTGGCTTGTACACAACAAAAACGTTACAGTTCTGGAGGCTGAAAGTATGAGATGAGGGTGCTGCAGATTTCAGTCCAGTGAGGGCTGGTTTCATGGTCTACAAACAGCTACTTTCTCATGGGGAACCATCACATTACAAGTACTAATCCCTTTACAAGGGCTTCATCCTCATGAGCAAGCTCCCCAGAGGCCCATGTCATAATTCCAACACATGGGGATTGGGCTTCAACAAGTGAATTTGAAGGGGATATCAATATGCAGAGCATAGCAAGCCTATCGCATAGACTAACCACCAGGTCCAAGAGCTTGCCGTCTTCACCTGTACACCAGGTAATATGCAGCTGCCACTTGTAGCCTTGACGCTCTCCTCAGCCCTCTGTCTGGGGCTGGCTTCAGCCTGGAGTGCGTGATGCCACCCCTGGTCAGCACAGCCCCTCTTGTTCTTATGGTGGGAGAGTCCCAAGGCTGCTAAGCAGAAGTGAGGCCGTGTTCCCCATGTCCTCTGCCTTCAGCCTGTGCTCTTGTTTCTTAT